GCAGGTCCAAAACAGTCACAGTCATGAAACAAAGAATACGAAAACAGCCAACTCATCTCCACAACCGATCACCACAGCACTTTTGAAAGTGCTCAAAGCAGGACATGATGATGCTGTGAAAATGATCAACCAACTTAGACAATATACTCAACTAGCTAAAGTGGACATTCAGCATTCTTTTCGACTTTTCCCTGTGCAACGTGGAAACTTGCACTTGCTGGACTACAAATGGGATGGTTTTTATTTCTACCTCATTGCACGGCCACCAAACTATCAAACATGTGCGGACTGTCTAAACTCAATATATCAGTATGTAAGATCTTGGTGTCCCTATCTCACCAGACAAGCTTGAGGGTCTAACAACTGTACTAGACACTGTGGACATAATTCTGCGATTGCCAAATGACAAACTGTATGATATAAACCTCATCACCTAGAAATGGGCTTCAATGACAGTATGCACTAAACATGAACTTAAACTTGTCCTTAATCGGCATGCTTAGTTTGTAAATGTGTACCAGCTTGGCGAATCTGTCACTCTATCACAAATTGAAGTTGTGGGCAACCTTCCACCTAAAACTACATTGTGAAGATTGCTTTCTGCAATCGTCTTGAACTGCCACACCTGGAATGGATCTCCACACTTATGCTTAATCGGACACTTGGTTGTGGTAGTTACTTCAATGGTGAATGGTTTTCCTCACTCTGGAAAAAATTCTACCAACCAATAGTCTCTCTCCATTGCATGGAAAGTGTTACTCCCCATTTTGCTAGTCTGCTTAATTTGGGGGAATTCATGGTTTGATAAATGTGTCATGTTTCATTGCGATAATGAGAGTGCGGTATTGATGTGAGATAAGATCTGGAATAAGGAATAATTATGCTACAGGACAGACTTGTTATACAAACTTTTGTTACTCTCATGGAATTCCCAACTTACCTGTAACACAGTAATCCACAATGCTCTTCGTCACATACCTGCTATCCTCTCGTCTGTCATACAACACCAACAAATTATATCTCACAGCCACAATGGAGTTACTCGGCGAGACAGATCAAAAAGACTTGATAAACTGGACTAATTTATACCAGACACTCCAAGGAATAAAACGACACACAGCACACCAATTCGTAATTGTCTCCCTGACACCAATAACGTTCTACGAACATTAAAAGATGCTCTCCATTGTTCACAGTCACTCCTACCAGTTGATCATTTCATGAGGTAGTCGGCATTTAAAATTGCATTCTTTGGTTTCCCTCGTATGAGTTAATTCACTGCTCAATCATTGACCAACTTCAATGAGGCTACAACGATGGTTTGTTCTGATATCCACTTTGACCAATCACTCAATAGTCTCAACATCATAAAATCGTTGAAGACAGACCCATACCGACATGGGCAAAATATCATCATGGCAGCTTCAGGATCATCTTTCTGTGCCGTGTGAGCTCACCTAGTGGGGTTGCTACCACTACTGCTGCTGCAAGGATCCTAGACTGGCTAATTAAATGCCTAGGACGATGGCAAAGTGATGCATAGCATGTCTACATCAAGACACCTATAGCAACACTACATGAAGTACCACGGACTATAGCAAAACATTGCAGCAAGTACACCCAGGCTTTCCTGTTGACAATATAATACTTTTATTACTGACTCTAGCATTGTAGAATCACATATGAACGCCCTTACGAACATATCTCATTGACATATCACTTACAATGCCACTTGATTTGTTTTGCTTATTCAAGCATTTCTACCTAAATTCATTCATTGAATTATTAGTCCAGTTTGAATTTGTTAATTTCATTCACTGCTTTGTACCGTTCATCTGACTATTGTTTTATCAATTTAGTACTTAAAGTACTTATATTTTCATTATTCACTTAGTATTAGCTGCTAGTAGGCTTTAGACCAGGCATTTCATCTGTATCTATATTCAACTTAGAACAATTAGAATAATAAAAAATTTGCATGACTCATTTGCATTACACCTTGTCTAACTTATCTTCCACACGTAATTTGGGGGCTGTCACTGCTGCATGCCCAACCTTGCTTGCCCACCACGGCGTCCTTGCCCCCGGGTCCTTGCCACAGTGCAAGTCGATGTTGAGACTGGTACTGTGGTAACAGCACCTACGACTCCCGCCACCAGGGTTGCAGTAGTAACCAATGAGACTCGGGTACCACGTTGTCCATGTCATGATGTCACTCAAACGACTGAGTTGCATCATGGGAGGAACCGCTAAGACACCTGCATGTGCGGGGTGAGACCCTCCTTCCTTTCCCCAGCATTCAAGTCTCTTTTGTCATTATTTATTTACCACTACTCGTCCACATCCAAGTAATGTTAATCAAAAAGTTAAAAAGTCAACTACAAAACAAAAATAACCACTAGAGGGCACTACACAATTGATCTTTGTCGCGAACACCCCAATACTACTCCTATTACTTATAACACACAACTAAATTCTATATGCATATGGTCTTTTAACATTTAATACCACAACATGAATTATGTTAAATGCTTGTATAGTCGTCAACTTTTAATAGTTAATGCCCAAGCCGTTCAAGTATCGTTATGTACACTGTCAACAACTCAGTATTTTCGAATTG